CGGTCCGTCCTTCAGGGCCCTGCTGTTTCGGTGTGGCGAAGGCGCCGTTTGTGAGCCTTTGCGGCTGGAAGACAGACAGCTCAGAGAGCTAGTTTTCTTGTCGGTTCAGAAAGCAACGTTAGGCACTGGGGGCCGTGGCCCGCAGGCGGTGTGGCGAAGGCGCCGTTTGTGAGCCTTCGCGGCTGGAAGACAGACAGCTCAGAGAGCTAGTTTTCTTGTCGGTTCAGAAAGCAAGGTTAGGCACTGGGGGCCGTGGCCCGCAGGCCCGGTCCGTCCTTCAGGGCCCTGCTGTTTCGGTGTGGCGAAGGCGCCGTTTGTGAGCCTTCGCGGCTGGAAGACAGACAGCTCAGAGAGCTAGTTTTCTTGTCGGTTCAGAAAGCAACGTTAGGCACTGGGGGCCGTGGCCCGCAGGCCTGGTCCGTCCTTCAGGGCCCTGCTGTTTCGGTGTGGTGAAGGCGCCGTTTGTGAGCCTTCGCGGCTGGAAGACAGACAGCTCAGAGAGCTAGTTTTCTTGTCGGTTCAGAAAGCAACGTTAGGCACTGGGGGCCGTGGCCCGCAGGCCCGGTCCGTCCTTCAGGGCCCGGCTGTTTCGGTGTGGCGAAGGCGCCGTTTGTGAGCCTTCGCGGCTGGAAGACAGACAGCTCAGAGAGCTAGTTTTCTTGTCGGTTCAGAAAGCAACGTTAGGCACTGGGGGCCGTGGCCCGCAGGCCCGGTCCGTCCTTCAGGGCCCTGCTGTTTCGGTGTGGCGAAGGCGCCGTTTGTGAGCCTTCGCGGCTGGAAGACAACTAAGACAGCTAGTTTTCTTGTAGGTTCTGAAAGCAACGCTAAGCACTGGGGGCCGTGGCCTGCAGTCCCGGTCCGTCCCTCGGAGTTCCGCTGTTTGGTGAAGCCTCCATTTGTGATCAGTTCTGCACGGCCCATCGGTCGGTGCGACACTGCTTTCCGTTGGGTTTAGGGTTCGTGATTTGAATTTGGCCGGAAACTTTTGTTGAATGCACCACCGTGCCGCATGTTGGACATGTGTGCGCACGTGTGCGACCTGCAAGCACGCCATTCGCAACGCGAAAGTGTTTGCCGCAGCCGTCACCACGGCGGTGATCGATTTGCCCTGTCGCCACAGTGCTTTGCACAGATTTGGCGCAGTGCGGGCAGAGGTATGTGTACACGTGCGGCGTCGGTGTGTTGGGCCCTACAGCAAGCTGCTGGGTCGATGAATGGGCAACACCTGTTCTGGTTTCTTCTGTTCCCGTCGACCTTTGTCTAGCTTCGTGCATTTTCTGAATCTCCTTGCGAACGTCTGCTAGGATTGCTTCGTGTCGCTGGCTCGTTTCGCGTTGGCCGACGAACTGCTGACAGGGGGGTAAAGAGGTTTGGTGGGTGGGGTGTGTATGTGTGTGTATGTGGGGTTCTTGCTATTTCTTAAGTCTATATCAAATATATATTTATCAAATATATTTATTCAATTAAAATATCTATCAAATAAATGTCATAAAAATCTATGTATCAAAAAAAACGAGGCGAAGGCCTGAAAGTGCGAAGCACTGAACAATACTTATATCAATCTTGTTTGATTAATTGTGACCTTGGTGATCCACCGTAGTGGAGGTGTGCGTCAGCGCCTTTGGTCGCCTGACATCCTGACAACAGGGGGGTGCATAAAGAAAAATTGTGTGAAACACTAAGTACCAAGCCATATCTTCAATCCGTATAAAATCCACCCAGACACGGGGGCAGCATGGTTTCTCTCCGAGGTTTGCGGTGATTTTTCGTGTTCCAAGATTTGAGATTTGATATTTAAACTAGACGACGGATGGCCCGAGAGCGTAGAGGAGCAGGGTCTTCTCTCGTTAGTATGGAGACGCAATTTTAGAAACGATATATGAAAGCTGTGTTATAGGCAGTCGAGAAGAGGAGTATCAAGACAAAATAGCGAGAAGTGCAAGACAATAGTTTGCATCGCAAACACTTTTACACACAGACGCTTTTACACAGACGCTTTTACACACAAAGCTTTTACCCACAGAAGCTTTTACACACAGAAGCTTTTACATACAGAAGCTTTTACACACAGAAGCTTTTACATACAGAAGCTTTTACACACAGACGCTTCTACACAGACACTTCTACACACAGAAGCCTTTACACACAGACACTTGTACACACAGACCCTTTTACACACAGGAGCTGCTTTTACACACAAACGCTTGTACACACAGAAGCTTTTACACATAGACGCTTTTACACACAGGCACTTGTACACACAAACACTTTTACACACAAACACTTTTACACACAGACGCTTTTACACGCAGACACTTTTACACACAGAAGCTTCTACACACAAACGCTTTTACACACAGACGGTTTTACATACAAACACTTTTACGCAGAAACACTTTTACACACAGACGCTTTTACACACAGACGGTTTTACACACAAGCGCTTTTACACACAATCACTTGTACACACAGACGCTTTTACACACAGGCCGGCCCATGTACTCACAGCGAAGTCATCGTTGCCGTGGCCACCTCAGCAATCCGACGGGGTGGTGCGGCGAAGTCCTATTTCCATGTGACTCGAAACCAGCATCCATGAACATGTCATGAGGGCTATGTGCTTTGGGGCCCCCCAACCAAGGTGGTTTGCCATCTCCCCAAAAAGAAGTATAAACGGGCGGACCTGGCAGGCGGCGACCGGTTCTGGGCTGGGACACACACACAGTATTACAATATGATATAAGTTGGTTCTTTTTGGGTTTAGGGTCCTGACTCCTGACTGTGACTGGAATGGAAACTCTTATCTTAACACTCATACATCCATCTCTAGATATTAACAGTCATACATCCATCTTTATATCATATCTCTATCTCTATCTCAATATAAAATATATCGATTTGTCTCTTTGTGGTAGCAGCCTGCCTATCCATGTAATCCATCCCATCCCGGGGCCCTGACTCCATGCAAACCTAGCTGCACAGACCAACAATGCGGACCCGCAAAGCATTCAAGGACTATGACTAATGACTGTGACAGATCACATTCAGCGATGTCCCGGCACAACTATATGCGCAAAAAGTTACTCCAGCACACGAAAAATCGCAATTTTACCTCAGTTTTTGCCGATCGACCCTCATTTCGTGCGAAAGGGTTGCTCCGGCACACGAAAAATCGCAATTTTACCTCAGTTTTTGCCAATCGACCCTCACTTCGTGCGAAAGGGTTGCTCCGGCACACGAAAAATCGCAATTTTACCTCAGTTTTTGCCGATCGACCCTCATTTCGTACGAAAGAGTTGCTCAGTTTTTGCCGATCGACCCTCATTTCGTGCGAAAGGGTTGCTCCAGGACAAGTCAAATCGCAATTTTACCTCAGTTTTTGCCGATCGACCCTCATTTCGTGCGAAAGGGTTGCTCCGGGGCAAGTCAAATCGCAATTTTACCTCAGTTTTTGCCGATCGACCCTCATTTCGTGCGAAAGGGTTGCTCCGGCACAAGTCAAATCGCAATTTTACCTCAGTTTTTGCCGATCGACCCTCATTTCGTGGTTGCCGTTTCGTGACTCGCCGCCGGTACCACCCTCGGCCTAAAGAGAGAAAGATAAAGAAGGCGAGAGAGAGAAAAAGGAGAGAGAAACAAGAGAAGATGTGAAGGTGAGAAGATGTGAGAGAAGGTGTGAAGATGAGCAGATGTGAAGATGAGCAGATGTGAGAGAAGATGTGAAGATGAGCAGATGTGAGAGAAGATGTGAGAGAAGATGTGAGAGAATATGTGAGAGAAGATGTGAAGATGAGCAGATGTGAGAGAAGATGTTAGAGAAGATGTGAAGATGAGCAAATGTGAAGATGAGCAGATGTGAAGATGAGCAGGTGTGAGAGAAGATGTGAGAGAAGATATGAAGAAAGATGAGCAGATGAGAGAAGATGTGAGAGAAGATGTGAGAGAAGATGTGAGAGAAGATGTGAGAGAAGATGTGAGAGAAGATATGAAGATGAACAGATGTGAAGATGAGCAGATGTGAGAGAAGATGTGAAGATGAGCAGATGTGAAGATGAGCAGATGTGAAGATGAGTAGATGTGAAGATGAGAAGGTGTGAAGATGAGAAGGTGAGATACAGACCCCCACTATTGGAAGAACCCTGCGCTCAGACGCTCTCGGGAAAAATGCTAAAGAAAAAAAAACGGCGCTCCTGGTGGTTGATTCCGGGGTCGGCGGCAGGGGCGGCAGCCCTTAATTATATATATATATATGTATTACTATTATACATTATATATATTTAATGTATACATATTAATGTAAATTAATGTAAATTGTATTGTAGACCGGAATTCGGGAAGTAGTGAATTCAGTACACCTCATCTATACCTCGTTGCATCTATTGTGTGTTTCTTGTGAGCGCTGGCTGGACATGCTAGAACAGCTGGCTGTGTTGCCAAGGCCATCAAGAGCAAGAGGTCTCTCGTTTTTCGTATCCAGAAAGGATGAACCTATACAGATTGACAAGCGCAGTAGTGGAAAAGTTTCTCTGTACAAGGACGAATCACACTAGGACAAGCCACACCGCTCGGAGAATAGTTGTCCTTTTACTTCTACTTGGCTGATTCCCATCTCAGCCAAAAACTGGGTCCACTTCTCCTATCAAGAAGCAGAGGGGTTGAAAACCCTGCCAGAACGACAGCCATGGGCCAAAGAAGGCGAGACGACCTCCTGAATAACTGATCATTTTTGTTGGCAAAGATTGCACAATCAGTTTGCACAAATTAGCAGAGTCGAAGGTACCTCCCGATCGGCGCCAAGTGATTTTCTATGTACATCGCATGCATTAGGACTTTGCGAATTCTGTTCTGTACAAATGAACACACTGTCCTTTACTCGCACCGGCATCTTGCACGATGAAAAGTTTGACATGCCAGTGTACATGGCAAATCGCAAAGGGCAAAGACTAAATATTTACTGTACTTTGTTGCAGGTTGGAATTTCCAAGCGAACAATCAAATGGGTCCACTGCAAAGGTGATTTCAGCACCTACACGGCGCTTACAGTACATCATAAAAGAGAATTTCCACCTGCCCGAAATCGGTAGGTTGCCTGCATCTTCTGCCCTCCCAGGGACAAACTCCACAGCTTCAGCTGGGTACAAAAAGCGTGCACTCATCAAAGAGTGGGCCCTTCAAAAGGCACATCGCACATGACCTTGGGATCTTTGCTCACAACAGCGTTCCACAAAGCCAATGTCCGAAAATGGAATCAACTTAGTAACTTGCCTGTAGACAGTACATAATAAAGGCAAAGTCATTTGCCACCTTGCTTACATTCAGAACATTCAATCTGCTAGGAGCATGATGAAGGAGTGCTACTTTGTAGCACTTAACCAAAACATCAACATCATCAACAAACACTTTGAGAATGCACCTACGACCTGGGAAGAGAGGAAACAAAACACGCTTCCTTGCATCACAAATCTTATATAACTTATATAACTTATATCAAACCATGAATCAAGCCACCGCTGCAAAAGGCAGTGCAGGTTCATCCACCTGGCAGATTGGCGGGAATGGAAACATTAGTGGAATCAATCTGAATCCTGACTCGTCCGAAAAGTCTCCCTGGTGCAGCTACTGCAAAAGGTGCACCAAGAACTCTCATCATCTCTTACCTCGCTGTCCTCATCAAGCTTGATCTCATCAACAAGCTCAAGAGCAGGCCTGGAACCCACTCTATAAGCTGCAGGATGGTTCAGCAAGCAGCGAATTCAATACAAAATGCACAAAACTTCCTTAAAGAAACGCTTGATAGCGAAAAAGTAGTGACAAAGCAATTTGCAAGCTTATGAGGTTGAGACATGTCTGGCGAGCATTGAGTAGAAACCTGGTGCTCCGAAGATGACAGTGTACAGGCACGACAAAAAGGTCAAAAAGGACGAGCAAAGACAAAAAGAGGCACAAACACAAACGGTCTTTGGAAAAAAACGATTTGCCCATCAAGTCATATCAGGTCCCTGGCTGCTGCGGAAGATATGCTTTGCTCAACAGATCCAACACCCGATAGCTTCATTGGCAGAACCTGTCATGAATGACAAGCCATTGAGCCATGTGGAAAGCACAGAGATCAGACATGTTGAGCATTCGTGCAGTACATTGTAATTTCGCGAGTGTCACCGGCATTGTTACTGGTGAGGTCAATGGAGAGGCGGTTCTCAAAGCTCGCAGGTGTGTCCGCCTCTATTGAACATGATTTCCCAGATTCCCACAGGTCCACAGGTTGACTTCTCGGTGTCACTTGATGTCCTACATGAGAACTTGATGCTACGCAGCTGGTGAGGTCCACACTGCTCGTTGAAAGTTTCCTGCGCTGCAGCATACTCTGAGCGGAGGTAGTGGCAAACCTGGAGCAGGAGCTAAGGCTCAAGATGCTTCAGGATGCTTCAGGTTAGCAACGTCTGTCATCGGCTAAGGATCAGCTCCAGCAGTTAGGCATCGCACCGTTTCTCTCAGTTCAGCCAGGCGAGATTCAGGTGGAACCTGCAACACACTGGACGTCAAATGACATCTGACGTATCTGACGTCAGATTTCGGGTGCAACATCTGGCCACCTCGAGCTCGGCAATCTGCTCTGTACAGCTTGACAATGAAGCCAAAAGTAGCTCAATAGAAGCCTGGAGAAGTTCCAATGAACATCGCCACTGTGAAGAAAGTCCAAGTCACAAAATATTCGTTTTGTGTCGGACTTGGAGCTGCTTTGCCCTTCTGGTCATGTTTCTTCAAACAACCACAAAAATTGCCAGCTTGTTGTGCAGCACCTTGGATCAAGAACCTGGATTTTACAATGTTGCAGTAGAAAATAGTCATCTAGGATACTATTGCAGCATTGCAGGATTTGGGAGCTGTGCAAGGAAGGAACCAAATCATCTTGACGGAACAATTAAACTGCAAAGCTGATTATATAGGCAGTTCCGTGCAATTCCTTCATAGGATGAACTCAAGGCATGATCCAAGTAAAATCATGTAAAATCCAAAAGTCCGCCTCAAGGTCTGGCAGCAACATCCGCAACTCCAATGGTGGAGCACGACTCGAAAAGGTCGCACTGAATTTACGAAGCCTTTGCGCCAACAGAAATTTTGCTTGGGACGAAGAAAGTGACAAAGACATGATCTCATCTCTTTGATGCCTTTCAAGAAATTGCAGCCCCTGGTTGGTTAATAGATATCCTCTTAATTATAGCTTATCATAATCCGGAATCAATTAGGTAGATCAACATCCATAATCACCCAATGTCAGAACCCATCAAAAATGCTATTCGGGTAATCAGGCCCCTTTGTAGTCCAAGGCACCCATTGTGCTGTGCCAGGCGAGAAGCCAACCTTGGCAGCCATCCCGACGAAGCAGCCCATGGAAGTCTTCGGAATGAGCTCTACAAAAGTCAAAGAAAAGTCGCCTACATTGGCCTACATCGATGTGTGCATCATTGCATCTTGATTATCTGAAGATATCTGGAGCATAACTGTATAGGGTTGTGCTTTGCAGCGGGCTTAATGAGATCCATGACTCCATGACACCTGGCAGTGCTCCAATTTGGAGTCATCTGGTGGCACCGGCGCGATTTGCCAAGCAAAGGACGATGCTATATCTTGGGAAGCTTGTGCATATTGCTGGGAGAGCCTGGGGATGGCTGAAATCCAGCATGTTTTCTTCATGTTTTCTTCATGTTGCTTCCTGAAATTGGATCCACGATGGTGCTTTGATACAGAAAGCATACGACTAAACAACAGCCCATTGTGATCCAGCCACTTTGAACCATGCAGTTGTTTGCACATTTTGCATGTGTTTGCATTTTTGGTCAGGACTAACGGAATTGCCTGCCTGGCTCCCGTGTCCGGGGACTGTGTTGTCTCATCGTGCCGGCGCGATTTCTGCATGCCCTCAAAGTCCGACAAAATCTGACAAATAGTGTGCGTACGGAGTTGAAACGATCTAAAAGGTTCACTAAGTTCACTTGGAATCTGGCAGCAGCTCTGATCTTCTCCAGCTGACTTGTCCTGTCCTGATTTCAACTGATCTTTCCATGTTCAAATCTTCCCAAGAAATACCAATCTGATTTCTTTTCAGATCGGCTCAGCGAACCCCCCGATCCAAGGACCTGACTCTCCGGATGCCTCCGCCCTGGATTTCCAGGGGCCTTCGAGGCGAAGCTGGCGAAGCCGGAGCACAAACCTGGACGAGTTTTCTCGGCAAAACTCTGAGCCGGGCATCCATGGCATCCATGGCATCCATGGCATCAATGGCTCCAGCCTCAACTTTCCGATGTCTCCCGGTGTGTCGCCCTGGGTGGGTCACACTGGGTCAATACATTCCATCTAGCACTGAGACAACCTGAAAGCACATGTCAACCAGTGCCTTTGCGGGTTTCGCTGATCATGCACTCCCACATTGCAGTTCGAAGTCTAAGGACTCAGGACTTTTCAGTTTTCAAAACATGTCACGCAGGAGAAAACATGCACAGACATTGATTGCAAAGTGCTGGACAATAAATTGCGCCTATAGCCAGCTATCTCAGGTATGAAACAGAAGCTCTATAGAAGTTTACAAACACAACTGAAATAGATGAAAGTGCTCTTGCGTCTGCTTGCCAAGAGCTGCGAATCAAGAATGGCACCGAGAACGAGCGCTTGCTTCTGGGCAAGTTGATGCACTACGACTTCCAATCTTTCTGAATTGGATCAAAGCATCTCTGCTCTTTGATTTTGTCGCTAAATTTTTCTAAGAAGCTGAAGTGAATGGACGGTAAACCCAACGCAGTGGTGTGCACATGTCGCCCAGCCAACAAACCCAAGGGAAAGGTGCTTTGGGGTTGTGCGAGTTGTGTCGAGTTGTGTATGTTTAGTAGATTGTTTAGTGGCATTGGTGGTTCCTGCATGTGATTTGCGTCAGCATGTGGTGCTGGCTGGTCCAAACAGTTCAGTGCCAACTGCAGAGGGAGAAAACTCCATCGCCCGAACGCGGCTCTGAGTCGTGGTGAGACTGGGTGGAGGTGACATGGCGAGAAATTTATCATATTTTGTCAACAAAGATGAAGAGACAGTTGAACGGAATCGCCACACCTCCACAGCTTTGAGGTTTGAATTAGGAAAACGCCCAGCTGAAAAACCGGCAAAACTCCGTCTCACGAAGGACCGCCAAACTTCTCTGGCCGGTGGTCACGTCTGATGTAGAAAAGCACATATGCACCCACCTGAAGGTCGATGACAAGCGGAGCACCATAGAGAAAAATGATTTCATGTTGAAATATGTTGAAATCACTCAGCTTAATATGAAGCCTGCTAAAGGCTGACTCAACACCAATGATACAGATATGATACGAACCTTGTCAGATGCAACGTCCTCCTCTGAACACCGCCGGACCGTGCTGTCATCGAAATAGTACCACCTGGAGCGAGACAGCTGGCGGCGGACATTACTGGTCTTCTCATGGTCTCACTCCCTGAGGCCATAATGCACTTTAAAGAGTGTGTGTGTGTGTCTGTGTGTCTGTGTGTCTGTGTGTCTGTGTGTGTGTGTCTGTGTGTATGTGTATGTGTATGTGTGTATATATATATATATATTGTATGTGTATGTATTTAGAGACTGTATACATATATAATTATATAATAATGAATTTATATATTATATATTTATATGTACATGTAGATGTGTATGCTTTACAGTATGTATATGTTTATAGTTTATAGTTTATAGTTGATCCAGGTGACTTGTCCAACCCAGTTGAACTCATCTAAGCACTTGCAAATCAAACTCGTTGGGGGACGCTCCGTCGATGGACGACCGGGAGAAAGCAACGTAGTGTCCTTTGCCAAACAAAACAAGTCTATTCTGGTTCAAAAGTATCAAGTGTACAAAGTGTCAAGCACGTGGCAAGCACGTTGCGGGCTTAGGATTTGGCCACCACCAAGGGAGCCAATGTGCTTGGAAACAGCAACTAGATCATACACCTCAGCTGCACAGAGTTTTGCACATGGAGAAAGCTTCAAGAATTCAGGTGAACTTCGTTCTGAACACTGCAAACGATCAATATCGATCAATGGTGGTGCATTCTGCATGTCTTGGACTGGCGCGGGATTCACCGTGGATCTTTTCGCTGCAGATGCCTATCAGTGTCAAACTTCGACTCAAATGAAAGCACGTGTGTGTCAGGCTGCAACGCTGGAACAAACCATGCACAAGCGCTGGTGTGCAAGAAGGGTGTCACTCCTGGCAAAAACCATGGACAAAGCATGGTCAGAGCATCGGGAAGCCACGAAGAATGAAAAGAAACCGAATAGCAGAAAGCTTTGTGTTGAAATCAAAGCAGTATACAGCAAGAGTCGGCATATTGCAACCAGCAGCCAGCACCTCTGAAAAGCTGAAGTAATCAAGTAATCTTAATGCTCATTCTACGGCTGCTGCAGCACAGCACCCATGATCACGTCACTCATGGCAGCAGCAGGGCCACGCATGAGGAAAACAAAGACCATTTCTGACAATTTCTGGTGGACTGAGAATTCGCAAAACATAGTGGCCATGATCAGCGCCATTTCGCCAGCTTTTGCTAAGCGCTGCACCGTCAGGTAAGGGCTGAGATCCAGGTTCTCCAACGGAAATGCGACAGGGTTGTTGAGTCGTTCTCGAGACCTGAAAAGAGAGCTTAACGAGCTTAACGGATGGAGTGGATGAAACCTGGAAGAGTAGATGAAGATGATGTGTTTGACACTGAGCCCAGGACCACCGGGTGTACTGAAACCGCTTCAATTGAAGCACCAGCACAGGAGGGCAATGGTGGAACCTAGAAGCAGTTTGACCGAAGAAAAACACACAGATGTGCTGCATGTTAATTTCATTGCTTTGAAAATACCACAAGAAGTTGCACGACATGACGGTCACATGACATCACCAAGCCGCTCCAGCTTCTTGAAGGCCTCTTTGTGCCTCAGAGTCTGGTGGCACATGGTGGCACGATGCCGCACGATGGAAATCATCGTGACAGTGATATCAAGGCTGTCCATCCATGTCCCATCTCCATCCTAGCAGGGCTCCAAGATCGTTCTGATCGGCTCTGAGTTTTGATACTCTTTGCAGCGATTGCAATACCAGGCATCTTCAGAGCTCAACCTCTCCTCCTGAGGGTCAAACAGAATTCAATTTGAGGCATTTAAGGACAAAGAAATTTCTTCCATCTTCATGTAAACGATCTTTCAAAATCTCAAAGTCAGCACGCCTGCACAAACATTTGGAGGAGCCTCACCAGTTCCACGTCACCTGTCTTCCAAGTCAGCAAGCAAAGTATTTCAACTCCTTCCGCAACTCTAGATTTACACACACAAAAAAAAACAAAGGATCACAAAGGCTATGTTTTGGATTCCTTTAACCCCCAACTTTGTTGCAAGTGCTTATACTCTCAATCCAAAATAAGACTCTTTCCGCCAGGTGACCATCAACCTTGCTGCTGCTTCTGCTGAAGGGCTCCTTTCGTTGCAGAAAAGTCACTGCCGCGAAAAAGCAAAAAGCCATGATTTGTATTGTACAGTATCTATTCCTATCTCCCCTTCCCTGCGCAGAACTCCTGAAACAACTTGTCCGGCAACTCATCCTCCTGCTTCGTGGTCTCATGTCTGCTCTCATCAAATCTATGATCTATATATATATATATAAGTGTGATTCAACTTCCAACAGTCAAACCGACCCAAATTCCCCAACCCGGCCTGGCTTGCCTGCCATTCAATCGCAAAATGTAGTCTTGACTCCTGACGGCTGCGACGACTATCAGGCTGTCAAGACTGTGAAGACTGTCATCACATGGGTACCCCAATAGCTGGGTGGTTTATCATGGAAAATCCAATTAAAATCGATGATTTGGGGGGTACCCCCATTTTCGGAAACCTCCACACCATAAAAATTGGTGAAGTCGTGGAAGGTCGAGCGTCCTTCCCCTGCGGATGAAGTAGCTGATCGCTCTCAGGGTCCAAGAGTTGTTCGTCTGAGCTGCAATGGTATTTGCTGTCGGAGACCTTGAAGATCTTCCATTCCTTAGCGAGGTCATGAATCAATGAGTGGATATCAATGGCAAATCTTCAAATATTTTCATATATTTTCCAGAAAAGTTCTAGCAGATTCCAGAGAAGCAGATTGCGGTCTAAGAGTCAGCATCTTCTGCATCAAATAGTCTCTGCAGATCCCGCTCCACCTTTCAGAGACGGCCTTTTGGCCACTTGGCTTAGAAGTGATGTGAGTCTTTGACGTGTTGCTGTCAACCAAAGCTGCAGAGCTGTAAAAAGATACGCACCCAAAATAACAATCAGCCTATCATCAGCCTATCTTATCCTATCTTTAAATCTTCCCTGGCCTTCTTGTACAGCATCCGCACCGTGGCCTCTGTCCAAATCCTATCTTTAAATCTTCCCTGGCCTTCTTGTACAGCATCCGCACCGTGGCCTCTGTCCAAAAAATGTTCAAGGCTTCATGTGCACCGAAGGCAGGAATGCAGCATCTGGACTCTTAGCGCCGCGCATCTTTGGGGATGGTCATCAGCAGTGGGACACCTTGACACATTCGCGGCACAAATTCGTGGCACCAAAGCTTTCCTGGAGCCCAAGTGCTGCTGGGGCCAAAGACCGACATCCCGAGTGTACTGGAATGATGAATAGGAGCTCATTACAGCCTGGAGAAATCAGGAAGAGCGAGATCAAAAAGATCATCAACGGAATTCGGAATGGATGGAATGGATGGCGCACGATGGCGCACTTGATTCTTGCAAACGGTCATCTGAGGTGCCAGGCCCTTCGCTGGTACAAGACCACCTTGGAAGAGAGGTGCATTGCAAAGAGATGTTTTCACATGCCGGGTACACTTCTGAGCTCCGCGCGCCAAACGAGGAGGAACTTGACGGTTGATCATCTTGGCAGGAGGTACAGTGTATATCGATGTATCTTGGAATGATCTTACGCAGAAATTTGCAAACCCATCCGACTTGAGTCATTGAGTGTGCAGAAACCTAGATTCCATTCCACTGAAATGACCCATCATGTCGGGTGGGACATGGTGGGACGTAAACATTTGGAGGATATGTTTTCCACCGGCAGTCTGCTTCTGTCCAATGTGGGCTTCTGATGTTACTTGTGCAGCGCCAGTTTTTCCACCATTAAACGTCGGAGAAATCGACACTTTTGGCTTCTTGCAGTTTTGAATCAGATTCAAAATACCTGGTCACATGTGTCCATGTTTCTGAGTCTTGAACCTGTACCCATCTCTTCATCAGGACTGTTGTGTGCCTCCAAAGACACGGATTCCAAATTTGCATTTTTTGGTGGTAGAGTAGTTTTTTCTTGGTATTTCTAGGGGCGGGACACTTGGCAAGCCCCAACCTGCAGCGTGCATGAATTTTCAGGGCCGACCCAATGTGAAAGCGCAAGGGGAGTGGAAGCCACAAGACTGAGGGTACAGCGTTGCTCTCCACTCTTGCAGAAAGGTCTGGCATCCGGCATTTCACTGAGAAGTAGCTTGTCCTGACCCAGGCACCAAAAATATATTGTATAATATATATATGAAATATATTGACATATATGAAATATGTGAAATACATGAAGTGTATGAAATGTATGAAATGTATGAAATGTATGAAATGTATGAAATATAAGTGGTCCCAAATAGAATTCAGGATCTCCTGCGACTGAATCGTCTCCACAGACTCCTGATCTTCAAGGTACTTGTACACCTTGGTGTAGAGACTGTGAAACCATCTTTTGACTCGCTGAATGGAGCTGCAGCAAATTGATGTTGCACCTTTCTCATTTGAGTTGTCGCTTGCATATGACTGCCCTGGCCTTGTTTTGCAAGATCTCTACCAAGATGCAATTAGACGCTTTCAAGCCTCCACACACTATAGATCAAGCAGTGCCATGTTCAAACCCTTCAAGCCGTGAAACTTTGAATGAAAGCAAAAAAAAACAGAAAAACTCTGAATTTTCGAGGGCAAAGTTCCACGTGGTTTCCTACAGTTCAAGTTCCTCAATTCAAGATTCATGATGGCTGCCCGCTCGTGGATACGGGTGCAGACTTCGAAAAACAAACAGAAACAATCTGCAGATTGCAAAGGTGGTATTACTCATACGATATTTGGGGTGCCACTTTGATCAAGAAAAGAAAACCTATATTTAAAATCTTCGGCCAAAAAACGATCTAAAAAAAAGGTGTGACGCTGTTCTTGCACGGCCAGTTGGCTCTTGCCGCGGTGAACCAACCACAAATCCACAGCCTTCTCCGACTTCTTCGGCAACGGCTTTGATAAGTTCTTTGATCTCAGCGAGGAAAGTTGTATCATCAAGTCTCTCAAGTCCGCTGTGGCCAAAACAAGAATCAAGAATTCTAGGCACAGTACTGATGCTTCTTTGTGCACCTTGACTGTGACCTCTCTGCCGCTGGGTGTTCTGCATTTTGCAATTGAAATTTTGAAACTGCAGCTGGAGATCAGTAGACAACACGCTGAGCCTGTTGATAGCCCGAAGAATCGCTATCACGGACCTTTGTTGATTCTGTCTTGGACATCAAAGACTGGAACACCTCTTCAAGGAGTGCTTGCATTAATTCCGAGAGAACATATTCCACTGCAGTGCTTCGTGATTTTTACGAAAGCTATTTAGGGCGATGGCAACCACCAAATTGACAGCCATTTGCCGCTGCTCTGCCTCAGTATATCTTCAGGGCAAATAATTTAGCACCAAGAAAACCAACAGCGTTGAATTGGGAATTTGGACCCCCTGGCTGAGCTGGATAGCGACAACTTGGCGGACAAGAATGGATCAAAGGTCACCGAGCTTCTGCCACACCTCGAAGCGACGTGTTCTCAGGATCTCTATGATCTCTCGCAACGTTGATGGACTGCAGATCAGAACTAAAAAGAACTAAGAACACTGCTCAGGGTCAGGACATCGCACCACTGATTTGAAGAGGCCTTTCAGAAGGTCGCAAGATGCCATCTGTATCCCTTTCTTTGCTATTTTCATGGAATTTCCCATGTCATTGATAGTCAATGATATGTTGCAACGCCCACCTACGAACAAGTCATCCACTCTTGACTTGCTTCGCGCATGGTACGCGCCCAACCTTGGCAAGGGATGACAAGGGTGCATGAAAGTGCTTAAGAAAACCCAGTGGTGGGTTTGGTGGAAGCTCATATCCACAACTCTCTGCACAACGTCAAGAAGTCAAGAAATGATGAGAGACCTGGTACAAAAGTTAAGGGTGACCTAGGTGGTCTTCCAGCACTTTGAATTTCCTCCTCCAAAAAAACATATTAAGGACCTTCGCAATCTTCCGCGACTCGAGTTTGAACCTACACCTGAAAAAAACAAAACCCCTCTGGATGCCAGTTTGCTTCAGAACGTCCCAGACATTGCCCAAAGCGTGCACCTGTGGGAACCCAGCCCGTCTGAACAAAGTTGAAAAGTGCAAAAACAACCGAAGAACCTTTCAATTTGCAGACCTTTGCAGGTCTCAAAACAACCTTTCCCTTTGCAGGATACTTGTTCTAGTGATCCGACATGGCAACTTTCAAGCCTTGCCATGAATACAGCAGAACTGACCCTTGCAAAAAAGGTGTTTCTGGAGATCTTCTCTTCAACATTGCAGGTTATTTGGTTCCCAAACGCTTCGGCTGCTACCTCCTCGTCTGGTCGGCCATCTGCCTTGCAGCTTTGCGTCATGATTCACCCTGCATGTCTCAGTAGCTGCAGTAGGTGCTGTAGGTGCACAACAACCTACTGAAGTGCACCTCTTTCAACTCGATGTAGGGTTTCTGCCCCTGAACCGCATTGCAGTCCTCGACTCTTTGAAGAACAGTTGGGAACCCTGGGAACTGCTCCACAGCTGCTCCTCTTTCAGACCGTCCAAGACGTATTCAATGAGCTCCATAGAGTCCTGGAACATCAGGACTCCATCAGAAATGAATGAAAAATGAACACAGTGAAGCACGGCAACTGCCCAGGTTGGGCTCCTGTTGCCCATAGCCACTGAACTGTTCGGCAAATTGGCCAACCTATTCCGGACACACAAGAATTGAAGGTGTTTCGGAGGGACTGCACTCAGAAACTTGCACACACACACAGACACTTGTAGAATATCCTTAGGGAAGAAACCGCTTCTTGTTAGTCCGTCTATTCTTCGGTTCGAGCATCTAATCCAACCTTCTACTTGCAATATCTTGCAATGATCTGCAATGGATGGACAAGCCTGCCACTTGAAAGTCCGTGGTGCCACCTGATATGCAAATTCAAGCGCGATGTTCATAGATCTGGGCAACAGGTTCATCCGCATTAGACCGGCCTTTCTGGTGTCTGGTTTCCACATCATATCAAGCCTCATTGCAAGAACACTTTTCTGTGCATGACAGGATTTGTGGACCAAGGGAAATGAGTTTCACGTCAGAGCCCGGCAGGTCGGCAAAGGATTCCGCGAGCTTGCCTTCCGTCTTGTGGGCAGTGCGGTTCAGGGTCTCCTGTTGGGCACGGAACAGCGCAATCCACATGTACAAGTCCCTGCAGGTCTCAAGTTTTTTGATCGCATGTGCATGAAAATCGCCAACCTTGTACGCCCCGTCCAAGAAGTATTCCCGTAGCTGCGGAACATTGGACAGGCACTGCAGGGAGCTGTTCCTGGGTCCAAAGCAGCAAAAAGCTGTGTCAGTGCAATATAAGATAAGCCGGTATTGAGTAGCTGGCATGAAGCAGGTATTGCCAAGATTTTGTAGACCAACCACGCCTCTTTGGATGGGCTCCCCAACCTCACCACAGTGCGTTGCAGAGGTTTGCACGGTTTATGGCCCTTCCAGCTGGATCCAAGGGACTGATGTAATGTCCGAAGATGTCGTCGGATACGATGGGTAGCCACTTGACGTGGCTGCCTTAGTACATCTTGTGACGCAACGCTTGGTTTCCAACGGCGAATGGATTGCCGATATGCTCAGGGTGCAAAAAAAGGTCGAGGGCACCACAACCAGTGTCCCTCATTAAGGTTTTCTGGTGGTGATCATCCTCTTTTTTGACAAACCGACCTGCGCATAAGCTTATGCGAAAGCACATCTGCTGCCTGCTGCCCCTCTGAGAGGTGGGCTGGCTCTGGTTGACTCTGGTGATCCTCAGCACCACAAGTTTTCTAAAACGAACAAAGGGCACAAGGTTCCAAGATACAAGGAATGAGATGAGAGATGATGAGAGATGATGAGAGATGATGAGAGATGATGAGAGATGATGAGAGATGATGAGAGATGATGAGAGATGATGAGATGATCGTCAGATCAATGAAATGTCTCCTTTCAAGTGTGCGTTGCAACTTCAAAACACAAATTGGGACTTGATGCAGTCGGAAGTTGTCCATTTTTAATCACACGTCTAAGGTGCGCGCATTCGAATCATTCATTGCATTCATTGGCCAGGATCCATCCGCCAGCGGCTCTTCCAACAGAATGTAATTCTGATCCATAATTCGTTGAGATTCCAAGGTTGCATCCTGCGCAAACAAAAAACATCAACTCAGAAAGGACTGGTCACAGGAGTCTCCTGCTCTGACAACTGAAGAAACAATAAGAAACATCATAAAAACAGAGTAAAACATGGGGTTTAAACGGTTCAAGTGTTTAACCATTCCGGTCCAGATGGCCCTCCAAAAGCGCAAACGGTTTAAGTTCGAAGTAGTCCCAGATGCGCACCTTAGCATTGAGTCTGAAAGTTCTAAGTAAAACTAGCGCTTCTTTCGGATCTCGCACTGGGGCGACTCTAAACTCCGCGCTTCTACTTGCCTACTTTTGAGAGCGTGGCTTTGCTGGCATCCACGTTCATCTCTGAGCACAGATTTGCCTGCGACTTTGGCAGATTCATGGATAAGTCACAGCGCCTGCTGAAACAAATCAGAAGTGTGAAGTCAAGACCTACGTTCAATTCACTGAACAATACTGTCCAAAGCGCTACAAAGTGTGACTGCTCCAATGTGAGCCTTCAGCTCGCCAATCGTGGTAGACTTGGATTCAACCACCTGCACAGCTATGCTTTGTGACTTGTGCCCAAAGTGTCATTGAAAGCAATTTCCTCATACTTCAAGTGTAACTACTCTTCAAGACAGGTTTTCAAAAACAAATTCATGCGCGTTTGTCAGTGGACTGAACCATCAAATTAGTGAATGACTGGCAATATCTACATTTTGAAAAAAAAACACTGAAAGCTGGCAAAAAGCTTTATTCTGCCTCTCTGTAGACACATCTCAAATCATGCGAGTTCCAACAGGCAACTCCACCATGCAACGGCCACAGGATGTTATAGAATTCCTGCCCAGCTGCCCCATGACTCTCCCTAGCACCTCTAGCAGCTCTAGCAGCTCTAGCACCCCAGCCTCATAGGGCGGCATTGTCATCTCGCTGGATCTTAAGGCCTCGCAGTAAGATTTCGACAGCCTTTCCTAGCCACGTAATTTCTTCACGATTCTTTAGCCCCGATTTTTTTTTAAGCCACAAAATCAGCTTAGCCATTTTTGGGGAGCTTCGTAGCAAACTGAGGTTCTCTGTATGGAATTTCAAGCCGTTTCGGCAGAGCACTGGGTTCGTAAGATGTCAGACGTGATCATGAGGAAATGAATAACTAAGTTCAGTATTTCCATGCGCAGCTGCAAGCCAGGTCCTGGCACACTTGGGGAACATATGATTAAGGCGAGAAACTCTGAGCGTCAGCCCGAAGAGCTCTACTTGGACACTGCCACCCTGGTCGCACATGCGCAAGCAAAACAAAATGCCTAAACAAAACAAAAGTTGCAAATTTGAGCCTAAATATTGGCAAACAGGCAAGCCATGGCATCTCCACTGAGGGTCCAGCAGGCAGTGTGATGGCTCTGCGCTTGATGGGAGGTCCCCCACCTTATCGCAATGAAGACTTGAATCTTGAGTTAGTTGGATACCTAAAATGACTGCAGTCCTGGTCGCTGCCTTCAAAAAAAAAGATGTGTAGCTCATGATGATTTGCTGTCCTTTAGAGCTGGATTAAGCAGTGAGCCATACCATCCAAAGAGCAGATTCCAAGCACCCTGGCAACGCAGCGCTTTTGCTTCCAAAATGGAAACGGGAAACCAAGGGATCTGCTGGGAATCAAAGACTAACGACAATAACAGAAAGGTCCTTGACTGCAAAGCCACTTGAGCCATTGAAATACCTCTGTCCCATCTGATTGTACTAGTTGGTTGGTAGGTTTCGCTACTATGGGTAATCATAATCCTCAATAAATTAGTTAGTAAAAGTCCCAACGAATTAACCAATCAACCAGGGTTTTTGAATGGTTCACTTGGTGCTCCAATTATCATACTAATGAGTTGTGGACAAATGAACTTTCCTGGCCAAAGAAAAGTAGATCCGATGCTATGATGGCATAGTATGGAGTGGTGTGGCACAGTACGGTATGGTATTATTTTATGGGAGGGGACTGTTGTGAGCGGCAGAAAATTGAGATAAATGGCAATCTTTCAAAGGGAATGCACAAAGTTAGGCCACACTTTCTTTAAGGAATATCATGTTCTTTGGGTTAATCATGATTAATCAGGATTAATCTTGGTGGAAGTGAGACAGACCAAAGCGTTGATGTGCCAGACACATGCTTTGTGAAGAGACTTGCTATAGGATAGCCTACATTCAGAACGAACTGTGGTGAGTGTGAGTTTCTTCATTTAATGTCTATCCCAAAAGCTTCCAATTCACCGCTCACAACAGTCCTTTCTGTATTTTATTAAGGCACTGTACAGTATGGTATTGTCGGACTGCGCGCGGTCCTTGGAAATCTTGGAATCACATTGACATATACTAATTCTTCTGTTTACCATGCCATGCATCCATGGATATTGCTAGGTTCACGTCTGCTCCAACTGTGCAGAAAAAGCTGTTGTCTCCAAGTGATCAGGATAGACTCTGACCACCTGGGACACTTCAGCCAAAATGGCACCGCACACTCACCTCCACAACATACTCTTGGTACTACACATAGCATGAAATTCAGCGTAGCGCAAGGACAATTTGATGTCAATGCAATACAAATGTGATTTCCAGGTTTCTTTTTGATGTGATTTCTTGTATGTGATGACACGCTACCAATCAAATCTGACATACATGCCATACTGGGAGTAAGAAACTATATGTACTGCATGTACTTTATGCACTCGATCCGAGTGTGCGCAGCAACTAAGAGTTGCGCAAGGCAGTGGAATCTGGAAGGTAATGCGATGATAATTTATGATATATATATACATGTATATACATGTTGCATACCATAGGTAGAATGCAACACACAGCAGTCAGAGTGTTAGAGCCGTGTAGTGTAGAACGTAATACAGCCCTGTGACCATACCGCCACTGTCCGTCCTCCGAGATAATCCGGTAGTCATTGAGCTGGTCCAAGGTTTTCTTGATGGCGGTCGATGAATTTTCCTGCAAAGCCATCAAGGCCATGAAAGCCAAAAACCATCAAGAAAACATGAAAAAAACATCAATATATCATATATCTATACATCAATATATCATATATCTATATCTGCCATTTTTGCCCCCCCCCCTTTCTACAAAAAATGCGCAGAACATGGAACCAGGATGCAGAAGTGAGCAGTTGCAGATGAGAGAAAGGAAGAAAAAGGGGAAGAAAGAAACATGGAATAAATCGCGCTAGGCACCCGGTTTGGCCTCAGAAATTATGTCATGGTCAGCGGGGATTATCGGGCGGCGACAGTCCTCCAAGAGTGGGCTGTTGTCAATTTGGCCTGGGCGATCTTTGGTCCAAGAGCCGGTTCGCCTGAGCGGTGGCGCTTGGTGCAGGTGCCAATCCAACTGGCCACAGCACATGTTGGCCACGTGCTAAGGTCACCACTGTCTGGTACGTCTAGCAGTTGGCGGTGTATCCACAAGGGTCCATCCACTCTCTCCTTCCACAAGGCTCCACTGCACCACCGGCACAAGGCCATCTGCTGCCATTCAAAAAAAAAGTTTTGTTGGAAGCCACCCGAGCCACCCAAGTCCTAAATCGTCCAGGTCTAGTGGTGGATCAGCAGGCCGCATCTGCGGGCTTTGTACACTCGGCGCTCCTGGAACTGGAACGAGTTACTGGTATCACAATCAGCAACATAGACGGACAAATCCAAATTAGATCACATAAGCGGAATATGATCATCATGTCACTTCTCCTACCCATTGGAGCCATTCCACATACCTCAATGTCGTTTCTGTGTACAAATTGACCAGGAAGCGCTGAAATGATTCTAGGCGCAGCACCATCGCTGGTTAATGAGGAAATAGGATGAGCCGGCCTGAGCAAACAGGTTGTCAAGCACTGTGCACAATGCAAGAGCCGGTGCAGATATTCAGCCTTCAGGGGCTCGTTGAGGAGGGGCTCCAATTGGTTAAACTCCTCCAAAGCAATGTGTATCTTCCCTCTGAAAGATGGATTTGATCTGCACAACTCAATGGACCTCATGGTGACAAACGGTGCGCGCTTGACAAAGGTTTGTAGAACCCAAAAGATTTATATAATGTGTATAGCTTGAGATTTAAAGATCAATTCTAAACTATACCCTGGCGAGCCGGGGTGCGACGGTGCGAGCTGCAGGAGTACGGACCTGGCGAAAGAAAGAACTCGAACACTTTCTTTTTTCATTTTTTTTCTTGCTTCCTGTTTGCTCTCAACTGGACCCCTGTTTGCTCTTGACTATTCTTCTCTCTCTTTTTCCCCTGCACAGCTGCGAACTACTCAGTCTACTCCATTCCTTATCCTTACGTGTGTTTTTGATGTATCTTTCTTCTACTCTACTCTTCCTGTCCATTCTTTTAACTCTTATACCTTCTTCTCTTCTGTATCCGTCTCTTCTTATCATTATATACACTTCTCTGCATGAATCTTCTCTCTACCCTGCTCTTCTTTGCTCTTCTCTCTCCTTTTCATTCCTTTTCTGTATTTCACGCCTCTGTCTTCTCATCATCGCTTCCCTTGACCATCCTTTCTCTTAAAGTCTTCAATCTTCGTAACACAGAGTTTTGTCCTCTGAGATGCGAAAAACGAACCACAATCACAACGCACCCGTCGTCCACCACGCAGCAACCAGCTACTACGTTGACACAGACACTCTACTGCGATGTGCAAAGCAGTGGTGCAAAACCCTTTACATAGAACTACGCGCATGGCCGCAGCAACCACCAACATTCACGCAGCCATTCCATTACGATCTGCACAGGGTTGCGAAAGACAAAAAACTACGTGTACAGCTGCAGCAAGAAGCAACATTCGCAAATACGCTCCAATGCAATTTGCAACCACAGAGTTCCCAAACACCAAAACGCTAATTGCGTTAATTGCGCAAGAAAACAACTCAAAACCAATGAAGCCTCAATTCCACCGCACTGTGACCCGGCCATGATCCAAGCCATGATCTGAAGATGACCCCACCCCGTTTCGAAGCATCACAGTTGAAGATGCAAAAACGAAGCAGTTCTGGGAGACTTCCTTCACCAATTTGACGATCTTAAAAGCGAACCATTTCTCTTGACATGCCCATCTCTTGACATCTCTTTCTTATGACATCTTGTTTTCCTGACACTTCTTTCTCCTGATATCTTTCTCCTGACATCACTTTCTCCCGACACTATCTCTTGGCATCCACCTCTTGGCATTTTTTCTCTTGACATCAGACATCTCTTTCTCCTAACGTTTCCTTCCCTTCCCATCCCTTTCTCATCTTTCTCTTCACAGCCCTTTCTCCTGACATTTCTTTCTTTTGACATCTACAGTATGTCTTTCCAACTCCTTATCGTTCGTAGCGCAGAATTGAGACCTCGAAACTTCCTTTGAAGAATGTCTCAAATGTCCTCTGCGGGAGAAACAGCTTCTGGGGCTGGCAGCGGAGCACACCCTGATGAAGAACGAGGGGTTGCACGGCTCTTGTCCACTTGCAGAATGTGTACTAAGCCATGGACAGTCTGCAGGCATCTCCACCATTGCAAGTGCAGGCACTGAGCCTACGTAACCTACGTGTCTCTTTAACAGAATCACTCCTGGTTCCTGCAAAATGTCTTTTAGCTGCGCTTTCCCATCGCTTTTGCATCACCCAATCTAAATTTCTTGAAATTCGGTCTTGGTTTTCATCGTAGAAACCTGAGACACATTACGCATATGTGCTTTTCTCAGACCCTTTCGCCGTGCTCTTGCCAGCTTTTGTGCCGCTGCGCTATTGAAGTGTTGTGGGTTGAGGACCCTCACCGTACAGTATACCTTTGTGGCTCGTGGCCAAGGCTTCAAGGCCCCAAGGCCCATCCTTTGTATGAGCCAAGTTGCAAGGCGTGCATCCAAAGTGGTTTACGGATAGCTCAAGACGCTCTGTCTGTGGTGTGTGCAAGAACCATGCTTCAAGTTTCCAAAAACACATGACATGCAGTTTTGAATTGCAAACAACATCCTCTGTTCCTGCAACTTTCATGAGACTGCAGGATCCGTAGATACAGCATGTGTCTCATGTCTGCCTTGCATCGTTTATTGTCATGGTGACCCAGTGACAATTCATCGCTGTCTATTTTCCCCAGGAGGCCTACGTCCATGGTAAAAAGTTCACGTGCATGCTGACGCCAAGCAAGTTGTAAAGCCCAATGTATAGCTGCAAAAGCTTTTGACGAAAGTATTGACTGCGGTCAAAGACCAAAGATGCCAAAAACCAATGGAAGACTGGACAGGCAGAGGCCAAAAGTCGGGTCGAGATTTGGACATTGGCAAAGAAAAATACATACACTGCCAAGAAGCCCCAATGCACCGCGTGAGGAAATAGAGGGCATCGAACCAAAGCGACATGCAAAACCAGTACGCAAGTCAAATATGTGGACTGCTTTGAGCCCTTTTTATCGGCCTCTCTTTGTAGCTCCTTCACGAAGTCCATGAAAAGGTAAAAAACACCAGCTGCCGTCAAACTCAGTGCCGGAAAGGCCAAAAGAAAGTTTGGGATCTGCTTCAATTGCCAGTATCGCAAAAATCCACCTTGCCAGTACTTGGCTTGAATATGACTGTAAGCACTGGGGATGCTATACTGACACCAGCTTGGAGGTTCGGCACTCACTGCGCATTGCTCCTGACCCTTGTCACAAACAGTTTGCTGTCCGTCACGATCGCACGCCTTCCAAACTGCAAATGTCTGAAAAGCAATAAACGGAGAAAACACTACGATGACTCCCACCATCAATCTCAATGCTGCACGGTTCCAAGGTTTGAAAGAAGCAGAATTTGCTTGTCGAATCTGCTTCAAAGTGGAAACGAGTACATGACAAGCGAGAAAGCCAATGTTAACCAGTCCATTGGAGCGTAGACCTGACCCAATGGCAAAAAGCACTGCGCTAAAGTAGAAACGGTCCATGTGAAGAAGCAACAGAGCTCCAAAGGTACACGCTGCAAATGGACTCTCCGTGTAGATCGTGCTGAAGAAGATGTTCGCTGGAGATAGGCAAAACACACGAGCCGCATTGAATGCCAAGATTTGATCTTTCAACACAGCAAGGCCAAGGCGAAACAGTAGCCATGCTGACAGCACAAAGCATCCGTTTGTAATTAAAAGTCCGGAGAGCAACAGGGAAAAGCCCCAAGACAGTTGCACATGCAGGACACGTGCTAATCCATTTATAGCCAAAGGCAAAAAAGGAAAAAAGGCAAAATCCTTTTCCTCTTGGTATCCAAAATGCGCAAGTTGGAGAAAGTGTGCAGCATCCCAACGAGTAAATGCCAATAGCTGAGGTGGCAATGCCAAGGCGTCAGGGGGTCTTGCCACCGATGCATCAGGATTGTGGTCAGGAATGGCGCGATCAAGAAGGACTGAAAAGGTGAGGATCACAATGCGAGATAAAACCGCCAGAAAAGCAATTTTGGTATCTGCAGTCCAAAACTTTCGCGCCTTTCCTCTAACTGGGGACCGTGGTGACCACATGAAGTCAAGCAACACATACAGCACCAAGCGATCGGAACATGCCTGTCAATCTACCTACAGGTAGGCTGATTCTTTGGCTTTTCATGATTCCACAATGTGCATTAGTTCAAGTAAATGAACGTAAATAGATAATGTAAATGAATAATGAGTAGTATTCGAAAAAAGAGAGGCTTGTGTACACAACTCCAACACTTCTGGCACCTCTGAACTTCAGCCATTTCTGCACTCTTGAGACTTGAGACTCTTGAGATCACAATCTCACCAATCTCAGCTTCAACTTCATGTCTGATGTTCGAGCTTTGAGCCAACAAGCTCTAGGAAAAGAAATCTTCAGCATGCCAATGAACTTAAAGCATCTGCCGCATCTGCCTCATCTGCCAGTCAAGTCATTGAGATTTTCGGACAAAGTGATGCCGGGTCACTTGATCCAGCGAAAGGTCAAGGCCTTTAGCCGTGAAGCTGTGTCGCATGATGAAAATGTGTTGAAAAAGACACACACTGAAGTCGTCCGATTTCATTGGGCATGGGTCAGCACTGGGCAGCCCAAAAACAGAGAGGTCATACTTTATACATGTTCATGAAAAGAATCATCAAGAGACCGATAGGCAAATCAAGAACATAACAATAGGCTTGTGTAACAGAAGTGTCTTGCAAGCCTCTGCTCAGTAGAGCGACTTGGTTTGTGCTCTTCACACATTTCCCAACGACAAATTTCTACGCTGTAGGATCAGCTTCTAGGATCATTAACATGTGCGACATAGAGAAAGATCCAGTGGGATTGAAGGTTAAATGAACAAAGTGAGCAAGAGTTGGCTTGAATTCAACCAAAAGCAAAAACAGAAATCTTGTGGCGAGGGCTATGGTCGAACTCCTGTATCAACCCACGTGCTCTTGCTCACCATGCTCGGCATGCTCCACTCTCTATCCTGACAAGGGCCCTAGCAGCTAGCAGAAGTGGCGCCACCTGATCAGACGTTGAAGCTCCACAGACTGGTTGCAGGCAGTCTATCTGTACGTCGTGTTTAAGTATGTTTAAGAAAGTTGGAATGGGGCCCTGGGGCTTCAGTTTGGGATTGTCTTGAGCTACAGTCGGCGTTTCAAGTTGAGCTTGGTTGACGTCCATCCTCAGTCGATCAAGCCACAGTTCGGACACCTTGTGCCCTCCAATGCACCACCAGGTCAGTATGATGAGGCAGCGCGGGTGCTGCACTGGTTGCTGATGTGAACGTTACCTCCTCAGCTGCTGTGCAGGCATGATTGCCAACAGATCAACGATCAACCGGGGCAACCACTGTTCCACCTCTGAGTGAAGTCAAATCTGGCAAAGGCGGCTAGCCGCTAGCGGGTCTTGTGGCATGATCATGATTGATATCATCATGATCTTGACGACTATTACTAGTGTTATTATTGTTATCACTGTCATCAGGGTTATCACGATGATACAAGTGATGGATGTAAATGGTGTTATATGTTATTACGATTATCATATATGAATATGATGATGATCATGATGATGATGATGGTGATGCTGCTGATTATGATGATGATGATGATGATGATGATCATGGTGATGGTGATGGTGATGGTGACGGCGATGATGATGATGATGATGGATGGTGATGATGATGATGATGATGGTGATGATGATGATGATGATGGTGATGGTGATGGTGATGATGATGATGGTGATGGTGATGGTGATGGTGATGATGATGATGGTGATGATGATGATGGTGATGATGATGATGATGATAATGATGGTGATTATGATGATGACGACGACGATGATTATGGTGATGATGATGATGGTGATTATTATTATTACTACTATTATTATTAATATTGTTATTATTATTATTATGACGACGACGATGATGATGATGACGACGACGATGATGATGATGGTGATGATGATGATGATGATGGTGGTGATGATGATGATGATGGTGATTATTAGTATTATGACGACGATGATGATGATGACGACGACGATGATGATGATGATGATGATGGTGATGATGATGATGATGATGATGGTGATGATGATGATGATGGTGATTATTATTATTTTGACGACGACGACGATGATGGTGATGATTATCGTCGTCGTCATCACCATCAACATCTTACTGGTGATCTTACTGGTGATTTTTCTGGTGATCTTGCTGGTGGTCTTGGTTGAAGTGTCAGGCTGTCGCACATTGGTTTGCAAAAGTGTTGAAACACCTGTCTGTATTGCAAGACATTGATTAGCTGATCAGCTCAAGTTTGCGAATCTTGCAGCTGCTGTAAGCCTTGTTGTTCATCCACGCTGTCACCTTCACCTGAGACACAACTCCGATGCAAGGTGGGACAAAAGTCCACATGTGCAAAACAGCTCTGGATCATGTGGATCACTAAATGCATCAAGGTCACAGCCAATGGCTTTTCGATCACCAAAAACTGTGGAATGGAGAGCAGACAGCGGCCAGGGAATCTGGAAAACACCTGCTCCTGAGCAAGGGCGCAGCCCGCACTGCATTGTCAATTGGAGGCAAAGGTTGCTTGCAAGGCTAAACGGCTAAACACAGCCTCTGAACTCTGAACTAGAAGGAAACCAAACCAAAAAGGGATGTCTCTCAATGCTTCATGAGAAGGGTCCACAGTGCATGTCTACTCTTCTTTGCATTTTCTTGGTTCGCAGTTGGGCAGGAATCTACAACAGGCACCTGTCTCGTGAAGATTGCGTACCCAAGCCTCAATTGTGTTCAACAGCTGGACAGGCTCTGAACAAAATGCGCAAGACAGGCCAGGCTTACTGGGACTGGGCTGACCCCCAGTGCCAAAGCCAACTCTGAGCAAAAGTGGATGCAATTGTGTCCTTGGGGCAGCGAGGCGTCATCCGAGGGCTGTTCCGACTCAATCGACTGTCTTGAGGAACAGGCGCAGAAGATCATAGGTACCTCTGCCAAACTTCCGGCTTGTGAAAGAGTCACAAGATCGACATGGATTCGAGATTTGCCTCCAGGCCAATTCGCAGCCAGTTTGCCACGAATGAGGTAGCGCACTTCCCACTCCTTGTGCTCCATTCTTGCACAAAAAGTAGTAAGTTAACTTCACTTCCATTGAATCAGCTTCACTTACTGCAAATGGATAAGAACAGGAGATCACAAGAGCAAGAAGTGGCTCCTTGAGATGGGTATCTCCAAGGTTGATAGATTGCCTCAAGAGTTCACTACTGCAAGATCTGCGGTTTTTGCCTCGGAACCGAGAGATTCTCCCCGCCTGTATACATGGACTGGATGGTGCCGAGGTCTCAGGCTTCTGCCTTACACCACAAGTCTCGCCCGCGTCGCCATGGCTGGTTCAAAGCGAAGCTGGGCGCAGCACAAACACCACAGGATGTTGGGTTGGGCGTTCGGTAAAATGCCCATTCCTGTCCATAGACCTGCAATGTCCCCTAAAATGTCCCTTGATCTATTGGGCTGGGAAATAATGTGCCACTATGTGTCACATGCATCAAAATCATCGAACATCATCAGCTCTCTGCGCCTCGATTGCTGCATGGAATGCGCCCAATGTGTTGAACCTGGGACTGTCCCATGAACCCGGCACATTGGACGTTTTGACTCACCGAGTATCCAACATCGTGTTGCAAAGCATGGAGTTGGGAATGGACAAAGCAGAGGCCAAGTCAAAAATGTTCAGAAATACCTGCGGGAAGACCGAACGACTTCAGGTGACGTTGTGACCTTGTGGCATTTGCGATCTGAGAATATCTGATGTCCCGGGATGTCCATCCCAGGGTCGGTGCACCGTGTTTGGTGAAGCCGTCTTCATGGCATTCTCAAAGTGCACCACCTTCAGCAACACACGTCAAACACGGGAAGCACCGAAGGTACCGAAGGTACCGAAGGTTGAAACGCCAAAACCTGCCTGGACGACGCTGAAAGGCAGATCAGAGGAACCACTCTTCGCATCACGAAACCTGGCAGATGTAAAGTGTAAAGTCACAGACCCAAAAAAAATGCACAAATCTGACAAATGGGTCGCAAGAATCAAACACCTTTTGCAACCGGAATGTCAGCATGTCAGCTGTGCGTGAGTGCCAAGTCAACCGATGCACCTCATGGGCAAAGACCAACTTCGGAAGATCTTTGCAAAACTGCAAAACCCCTAAGACTGTAAGAATTGGGATGAGCTGAGATCCCAGGCCAACAGTTCCCAACAAATGACGTGGACCTTCAAGGGGAACTTTCAAAAAACAGCGCACCATGTGGGCTCAGTCAAGGCTCATAGCACACCCGAGCCATCCCAAGCCTAGCTGAATCCATTTCTGTTCTTCGATTGGCTCCTGTCCGACCGGTACATGCATGGGGTCTGCCCTTTTCCAGCATCAGCCTCTCGCAGTATCCCCAAACCCACACATTTGAAGTGTTCCCAAACATCGCAAACAAAGACTGCAGATGACTGCAGTATGCAAATTCAAGTTGAGCAAATCTGGAGCGCACCCAGTCAGCAGATCGGAACTGTAGCCAATCACGGTCTTCGCCTTAGCTGCTTTAGCTTGGACCCGAAAAGGAACAGGAACAGCTTTTCGACTTCCATCGGCTGACAGCTTTTCGACAGCTTCCCGAGGCTATTGCTGTCGGAATCGCATGGCCCCACAACGCATCGCAGTATTGAGCCGCTTTTGGACTGGCGTTCCACCAAAACGTGGAGAACTCAAAAATCTTAATAAGCCAAAGAAACTTTCAAAGCTTTTAACATCTTTTAACAATTTTGCATGGCTTTGCATGTCTTCACAGTTCAGCGGCGCAGGAGCGATTGGGCTCTAATTGAGACGCGGCTCCGAAATCCGCTACCTCGGAGATCTCTAAGCCGCTCCCAGAGACTGACTCCCACGGTACCTCGGGAAACGTTCCCCCACCTGCTCTTCTGGTTGTCCCTCTGGACTTTTCAGCTCACCACAGTTCAATCAGTTCAACACACAAGTCATTCAGCATCATTCAGCCATATTCAGCCCCCAACTGTCAGACCATCTGTGGTCTGATCAAAGCCAGGTGAAACCTGGAGATCATTTTATTGACAGCCCAGCATGGCTGCGCATGGCTGCGCATGGCCCCACCTCTATGGATTCGTCGGCCAAAGGCTGACCATCCACACTGGTCTTGTAGAAAAAGTCGCCGGGCTTAGCCAATGGGAAGCACTGGGCTGGGAAACCCCAAATGGATGGACTCAGAGGGAGCAAAATTTATCGAAATTGCCTGGTCAAATGATGTCAAATGTGTAGTCTGTTTACATGTTATAGGAGAGCAGGAAAACGACTGGGTTTTTTACCACGAAGATTGAGTTCCATACGGTGATGTGAAAGGTTCTCAAGGTGTTGTTCCTCCAAAATTGCAAAGCAAAAAGAGAAGGCAAAGCGCTTGGATTGCCCTTCATTTGCAATGCTCCTGAGTTTCACAATCTGCGCGACAACCATACCTCGACCAACGAGGCTCAGGGTTTGCCAGGGATCTCTGCAAACAGAACTTTAGTTCAAACCGCCATTGTCGAAACAGCCTTTGGTTTTACTGAGTGCCACACTGAGCAGTCACAGAGCGAGCTTTGGTCCGTGACAGTCTACGCATCGCTATCGGCAAGTACGCTGAAGCAACGGCGGGCAAAATTTCCAGTTCACAACTTCTTGCCAGACAAATATGCTCTGCTGAGATTCTTCAGGGGGTTCCGAACCAAAAATCCTTATACTGCCAGGAACCACAGGATAGGCATTTCGTGGCATTCCTATTTGACAAAACGGAAGTGTGCTCAGATGTGCTCAGTATGCTGCAGGTTTTCCTGGTGCAAATCTCGCCGGCACATTTGTGCCATTTGGCGCGTTTTTGCGTTTTTGGTATCGGCAATAGGTGGTTTCCATACTGGGAAGTCTTGCGCCTTTCGGTCAAAGTCTAGCCACTACTATTACCTGAAAATTCTTATATGCAGCCATTGAAATTGAGGAACCATCAAAAATTGCCAACTTACTACGTGAAACGAAAACGACTCTGCGTGAAACGGCAATGCTGCAAGGATCTGGGCTCTGACCATCAACGGCAAACATGCCATTTCACTTCAATTACACAATCCACATGACAACACCCGGGTCGAGAGCAGTTTGCAAAGTCTAGTACAAGGACTTCCGCAAAGCTGATTCACTGCGAGACCTCGCATCGAAGGCAAACGGGCACTGAACATAGAGTGAATATTGGTGACTGTGGCGAGTAGCTTCTCAAAGGCACATAGTCATTCCGATTTCAAGTAGACTTGAGACATCTTGAGACATCTTGAGACATCTTGAGACATCTTGAGACATCTTGAGAGTTTCAAAAGACACTTCTCTGCCATGGCCTCCCAAGTCCTGAAATTGGATCTCGTATGGTCCCATGAGTCAAGACCTCCTGAGACAAAGGTGGCACCAAACTCCCAACTGAGATCAACTGAGGTAACTAAAGTGGTGTGGTGTGGTTTTCTCGTTTTCTCAGTCTCCTCATGCCACTCAGCTTCTCTCTTGGGGTGACCTTGGGCCAGGTGTATCTCAACCGAATTCAGCATCCAGGCCGCACATCAGTCGGACATGTGCAGCGCAAACAAATCCAGGAAAGGGTACCGTTTTGAACGATCCGGTCCTCGAAAGATCGAAAGCCCAAGCTTCCCACCTTTAGCTGTGAGGTTGTTCAATTCCCGCTCATGCCTTCAGCACAAGTCGCACAACCGCAAGAGCAAATCACCTCGAAAATCCAAAAGAAACACAATCGAAAGATGTCTATGACACCCATGGCATCTCCCAGCACAAGTTCCGAGCCTTATGGCAGCAGCAGTTCTTCGGCGCTGCTCTGGCCATGCCTCGGACAGCCCTGAGAAATATGCATCGTTGGGGATCATGATTCCAAAAAGTGGGAGAAATGGAGAGTATACTAAGTTAGGACAGTTAGGATACTTTACACCGGATCCATGGATTTCTGTTGATTTCTGAATATTTTGAAACCAGGAACCGTTCATTCTGTTCCTTCAGGCTGTTCCTTTTGGAGCTGAGGGACCCAGAAGGTGGCTGAAGCGTAGTGCACCAGCGGCTGCTCACTGGCCGAGATCAATGGTGATTACATGTGCCATCGGACCTTTCGAAAAAGGAGCTGGCAAGGAGTCATTGAAGTATTCTTCTTGTTTCATATCAAGTGTATCATAATATAATGTAGACATATAACATATCATATGAATATTCGTGATGTATACAATATGTATTGTCTATTGTCTATATATGTCTATATATGTCATTATATATCTATTGTCATTATATATCTATTGTCATTATATGTCTATTGTCATTACTATTTTTTGATCAAAACAAGACCAAATTCCCGGTTGTCGCGCTGTCGCGCTGTCGCTCACCTTTGTAGCCTGGACAAGGACATGGGTTCAGGGCGCCATGGTGCGGGCATCCGGTCCACCTCGCTCGACCAAAGAGATACCATGTCGGATGTCGTGATACTAAAGGATGTTGTTTCAGATTGTTTACTAAAGGATGCTTTAAATTACTTTAAATCTATACAATGCCATGAATATGCCGTTAATATGATATTAATATGCCATTAAGTCTAATAACTGTTTCGGATGTTTGTCTGATTTCGACAGTAAACCATCTTTCATAGCCCAGACTGATGCTTAAGGACAAATGAAGACAGAAAACCATGTGAGAAATCAGATGCAAACTCAGACAAACAAATCCAACCGAAAGAAACCGGTGCAAATGGCTACAAAATAAGCAGCAAAAGTTCTCAGGTTTTTGCCACATTGCGGAACCCAGGCGTTCTGTCCTTGTGCCGTTGCAAAACAGTCACGTTGTCACCTTGTCATATCAAATTCGCTGTCTGTGTTGGAGGCGGTCCGGAAAGTAGCGCCCAATGGTCGTGCGGTGCGCAATGGGATTCATGAAGGGATATGGGTTGTAAGCCTGGCAGCCGCGGGCAATGCAACTGATGACTAAAGTGACTCACTTGACTCAAGTGACTCGGTGTCAAACCCCTGGACCCGGCGTCGTCAGACATGTCCTGACAGAACAGCACGATGCCACGATGCTAAAGATCCATTGACAATGCAGAAATCCACTTCAAAAACAGGCTCGAAAATTGTTCTAAGCATCCAACCTGTTGCCCCCAACACCCAGGTCATTGTGGCCAAGTTCACGCTTCGAGAGCTTGAACCTCGGGCCCGATGCATGTCTCTGTCTTGAGTAGCGATTCTTGGCTCACTCAGAAACCACCAGAGGAGCCACACCCACAACTCGGCATTGTCAAATAAACATCGACCTGGCAGAGAAATGGGCCGATGGGCAGCAGAAGTCGCAGACTCTGAAAGCCAAGCCAGGAAGTGCAATAAAAAGATGCCAGCGTTGCATGGTGTCTGATCCCTGTAGCAGGATATTGAAAGAGTTTCCTACTTGGAGCCAAATTGAGTTCAGCGGAGAAATTCACAAAACGAAATCATACCATCAGCTTTATAAATCAATGGTGTTACTCCAAATAACCATGGAAGACCTTGCCATTCAGTGCCATTTGGGCGTCATTTTTATGATGCGGCAAATTCATCCAGGCTACACTCAACATTTGCTGAGCAGGTGAAACAGTGGCATCATTTTGCCATTGAGGATACCAAATCTGGTATGTGCTCAGCAACTTGGCCCAGTGGGGAGTTGGCAGGTCCAGTTTTGACAGGAGTTTTGCTGAGTTATAAAAAGGAAAGCTGTGTAGCTGTGTAGCCTTATTAGCCAAGCGCATCCAGCATAGCACATCTGTCTCCAAAGCGTTCATCATCCATGATGCCTCCGCAACTCCAATATCAGCATTCGGCTGTTTGGAACGTCAAATTTCGAAAGCTCTGGCCACAACAGCTTCGTCCAAACACAGCCGTTAACTAAGTAGTGTGCCACATTCTGCAGGTGGTGTGTATGGACCTCGGTCAAGTCATGTTGGGTGATGTCAGGTGCCAAGTGACTCAAGTTTGGGGTAGGGAGACTTGTTTGCACCTGCGAGCTAAACCCTAGCTGTAAAATTGGTTCCGCAGGTGTTCCCTGAGCTGGCTGGACCACCGGAGAGCTTCTGCTCTTCGCACTCCACAGCCAATTTCAGGCTCATAGCCTGAACGCTTGGGGATGTTGGGGATGTGAGGTGTTGAAACAACTTTTGCACGGCATCAAGATGCATAGATGATAAAGAACTTGTTGAAGTTGCAGAAAAACTCATTTGCTGAACTTGCACTGGGCTCTCTGCCTATCAACTTTGCAGCGGCTTAAGACACATTCGTACCATAGCCGCAAACTTCAAACATCTAGCAGTGGCGAACAGCCTTGATTTCTTTTAATGTCTTCCAAGCCTCATTTCCGAAGATGCGGAGGCATTCGGCTTCTGTCCAGAACGTTCCACATCTCGATGCCCTGCAAGGCATGGTCATTGAAACAATCTTCCTTTGGATTTTGAATAGATATCTGTAACACCTACTGCCAGCTATGCGGTCATGTCGCAGATTTGCCTGAAAATGGCTTTAAAATGTGCATGGTGAACTGTCTTCTTGCGATCTCAAGAACATGACATGGCTCTCAAGCACCTTATTTCATGAGTCAAGACAACAAAAAGAACCTGATAGTTTAATGCCAGTGTGTGAATAGAACTAGCCATCAAACAAACAGATACATGCAAAGTCCAAAGCTGCAACAGCCTGAACCAAAGGTAGTTTCGTAGCGCTTCTTGATGTCTGGAAAAGTCACCAGAGACTGGCTTGCAATACTTCGGATCATCTTTGTCCCACCAAGCCTGACGATTTTTTGCAAAATGCCATCCAACTCTCGATATGGTCATCTTGCAATCCGTTCATGCATAGTTTTCAAAGTTTCTTAACTGGCGAAGAGTCCTAGCACAACAAACTGCAGGAGTCTGCTGGATTTTTTCGGCCTTGCAAGTGCAACTTCCCGTTCTGCCAGTTGCATCTGTGGTCTCGCAATCTAGGTCAGTGTCGCAGCTTCTACCCGCCTGAGCACAAGCCAAACCATGCTGTTTGGCAATGCACCCAATGAACCCGCAACCGAGATCTAAAATCTGCCAAGATGTGCCGAAAGATGTGTTAAAATCTGGCAAAATTTCCACCAAGCCTGTTTAGATTGGGCAGGTGGAGCGCATTTGCCATCCCTGGCAATTTATGATACACTGGTATCAACCCTCCAGGGGACACTGTGTCACACATATTGCAGAGAGAAGCTCTGAGTGCAAGCAATTCGTCAGAAAGGCCTATCCCGCCAGCCAAACTCGCAGAACACATCTTCGGCGGCTAGCGCACCTGTACTTGTCAGTGCTGCAAATTATATACATTCAAGAAAAGTGACACGCGGTTGCGTCCTATTGAAACCTAGTGATGCGTTGGAAACAATTTTGGGGTGTCACTTACAAGTAATGCCCGGGCAAGCCGGGGGTGGAAATTTCAAAGATAAAAAAACTATAAAGCAAAAAAAAAAGGTGCCCACAGTTTGTGGGGAAGGCCGCCTGTGCGTTTAAAAAACATTTATTTGGCATCTCGCGACATCCTTTTCATTCCCTTTCTCTTGTTGTCTGTTGCTCTTGACGTCTCTTTCTCATTTATCTTGACATCTCTTGCTCTCCTGCTCATGCCAGTTTCTCCTCTTCACGCCGTTTTCTCTTGACATTTGTTTTCTCTGTGGAGCCGATTCTTTTGGTCATGGCCATACGTTCATCTTTGTCCACGATCGACTTGATATCCGTGATCACATCATCAGGTGCTTCAATAGCCACCGCACGCAAAGCTGGAGGCAGCTTGTTGAAAATCTTCGGAAAATCAGAAGGCCTCGAAGCAGAAAGAGCAGAACCGATGTAATCCAATGATGTCCGCCATGGCGAGCGGGATCTACCAAGTTCATGGTGAGGAAAGTGCGCATGAGGGCTGGTGGACCATACGCCAGGTGGGGTCATGCAGGCCCCGCCGGTTGCAAAGTAACCACCCAAAGCATGCTGTGCCGGAAAACAACGCGAGCCACACACATGATGAAACTCACCCTGTGGAGGCGGTGGAGGAGGTAAAGCCGAGTGATGTCCACTGTGCATGACGCCAGAAAAAAAAAAACATCTAAATGAGCAACAGGCCTGAATCAAAATTGCTAAGGATTTCCAAGGGAAAAAACATCAATTACACAAACATTCCACAAGGGGAGACGCTCACGGGTCAATATAACATGGGTGATGGCCATCCAGCACATACAACACCTTCACACCCAGAGTTGTTAAACATTTCGGGCGCACCTTCAGGAAGATGGACTCCAGCAAGAGAAGTATAGCAAACCATTTGGAATGCCCAATATATTTAACATTTGAAATAAGATTACATGAGAAACATACTCATGCAACGTGCAGGTAGTGACATGCACGCACGTTCGATATTCAAGCATGTATGGTCAATCCATGACCATTATAGAGAATAGAGAAATCACGCCAAGAACTTTGACGTTAAAAAGAAATGCCTACACCGGGACCATTCCTGGGGTCCTGAAGGCACGGGCGACAAAATCATGATGAGATAATACAAAATACAGTATGCTGCAGGAGCACAAAGAATGAATGCCATGCAGATCAAATAGCCACGAAACACGCTCATCATTAGGGCTTCGCAAGCACAAAGGCATCTGCGCGAAGACTTTGAAAAGTATTGGCAGGGTTTCGTCAAAGCTATCCCCAGGCGCAAGTAGAATAAAAAGATTACTCATCAGGTATCAGCACTTGCTGCGCAACCGGTTCAAACTTTGGGCTGATACGACCCTGATCTCAAACTATATGCAGCAGAGCAAAGTGGAAACTAACCAAACCGGCAAAGGCCAGAGGGCCGAAAGGCAATAACTTCCTTAAAGCAGCAATGAACAACTATAAATTTGGAAAAGGGACTGCCACAAAGGTGCCCAAACGAAAAGAGCAGCAATAACCATGTCCAGCAAGGGCCAAAAGGCCAAGCAAAGTAATCTTACAAAATCAACCTTGCAAGAAAGTTCATGAACGAATTTCAAGCTCAAACTGCGTTACAAATAAAGACCCAGCTGCCACCAAGTCCCTGAGGTTGCGAGCTGGTAGCGCGGCAAGTTGGACAAGCAAACAGAATGGGGCAACAAACCACTCCAATGCAATTTACAGTGAGTTACTAAGCAAGATAGAACTACGCGTTCAAGCACCATCCATCTTTGGAGGCACGTTTCGTCTTGCAAAACATACTATGTCGTGAGTCTGCTGTCTCTGAAAAACAGGTTGCGCGCGAGACTTCCTCCAAAACTGCAAGTTGAAGTTGTCAAAACGAAGCTTTTGTGCGAGACTTGCGCCAAAACTGCACGTTGAATCTGTGAAAGCGAAGCTTTCGTGCGAGACTTCCTCCAAAAACTGCAGTTGAAGTTGTGAAAATGAATTGTGAGATGGTGGTTTGTGGTGAAAGTGAATTGCGATGTTTTGGTTGTGGTGATGTGAATTGTGTGATATTGGTATGTGGGGACTGTGAATGTCCGCAACACGGAAAATTATCATCTAAAGTTCATCTAAAGTTCCTTTGATGACCAGAATGTGATCTTTTGACCCATCTTGTCTGGCCTATCCACAGGCCTGGCCTATTTTCAGGGAGAAGAGCTTTCGACAGCGTGGCTGCGGTTCACCCACGTTACACCGCAAGCCAGGCTCGCCTCAAAGTGTCAAAAGCGTTCAGCCTGTGTTGATTGTTGGAGTCCTCACGGAGCAAACCTGTCCACCTATCGGACCTATCGGACCTATCGCTCAAAGCATTGTTTTCTTTTCAACGCCAGGATTTTCCAGGACCCCAGCATTCACGATCCTCAGCACAGGTCATCCCCTCGCTTCGCTGTGATCTGCAATACTGGACCTGGCAGCCACAATGGACCATGAGAAACCAATGGACACATGGGCTGCATGACTACCTGCAGCATTAACAAAGAAGCCAGCACTGCCCAATAAGGGTTCTGTCCGCCAGTCGGATCCGATGGGCAGTAGAAACCCAAATGAGGGCAATCGAAATCGCTCTCACAGGTCTGGTTGGCATTGTACCTCCAGCAAGCGTGCACGAATTCCAGGAAGTTTCTGTGCACTTTTTAAAAAAGGCAATTCTGCGTCGGGAAGGTCATTCTACCTTTCTGGAAAGACCTGGTATGTGCACCATCTCATCTCTCCCAAATGTTGAAGGGTTGCAGAGAAGAACTCCCATGGCATCACCTTCTAGAACCTGCACAGTCTGGAGCCTGATTTCAGAAACCTTGTTTTTGGTCATTTGCTCGCAAGATCCTAATCTTCATCTTCCAACATCTTCCAACATCTTCCAACCTCCCTTATCCTTGGTCTGCCCAGAAGCTTCACTCCTGGAAATTTCTGAAGCCTGCCAGAACCTGGGCCTTGAAATCTTACTTCCAAAGCTTGATTCATCTGAAAAGCCTGTGGAAGGGCCTGAGATTCATCATTTGTTAAATCTACTTTTGGAAGGTTCTCTTGCATACTGGTTCAATTTGCACTCTATAAGTCTTGCTTGCAAACATTCTGCAGTGAGTGTTGGGTTTCAATCTCTGGGTCTGGGAGTGATGCATTGTTTTGGCCAAGCCCAGAAACCAGAACTGCAACGCTGGAACCCTGGAACCTTGGAACCTGCTCTGAGTTCATTGACATGCTGGAAAAGAGCTGTTGAAACTTGAAACCTCTCACTTTCGAAACCTTTCCGCAATGGAATTTCAGCAAGGATCTTCATTCCCCTCCTTTCCATCTTTCCTGGTTCTTCAATGTTCGTCCATGTTCGAACCATCAATTCTGTCAGCCATCTGAAGGTCATGCAATCTTCCTCTCAGATTTGCTGCACACATCTTGAAGCTAGGGAAACAGCTGACAGTAACTGTGACAAGGCACGGCTGAAATGGCATGCAAGCGCCACTCAGGCATCTTCTCATGCCATAGATGCAGTCCTGGAAGCCAAGGATATGCTTAGCTGCAAGAATAGCATGCGTCAGTGCTTCACGTTCTAATGCACTGATCTCCTGGTCGTAGATGCATGGCATCCCAACCTGCAAATTTGTGTCTAGCTTGAAGTTGCAACAATCTGCAACTGCACCTGGCCTTATTTCTCCATCGGCAAACCCAATTGGTCCACTCAGTGAGAGGGAGAGGATCCCACCTGGCCAGGAGGGCAGGAGGATAGCAGGAGGCAAGCCGCAGCATTGCCAGCAATGAATCGCAAAACACAAGCAGAAGCTGCCACAGAGCCAGGCAGGTGTGCTGCGCGTGATCCACCACGGTCCTTTCAAACAGCTCGGGGAAAGGAGTAGTTTTTTAAGCGGATGAAAATTGGGAAAGCTGGTTTTCAAGCACAGTTCAACCACTGGCGCAGAAGCTCAATTTGTTTATCCAGAAAGCACGGTTCAAATAATGTTAGTCCAAATCTTGGGTTGGATACTGTGTCACTGCCAGGACAATGGTGGCGATGACGTTTCACTGCTGACATTTTCATCGCAGAAGTTTCTCTGTCCTGTCAACGCAGTTTTGACAATTTCCAGGCGGATGGCACTGCTCGTCTGAAGGACAAAACACCTTCCAGCCGGCGGCAGCCAAGCATTACAAAAGCCAAAAAGTCAGTCTCAGAAAGTCTCAGAGTCTGAGAGTCAGAACTTTGAGCTCAGCAGCATTGCTTTTAGAGATTCATTGTGCAATGAGAATGCAGCTGCCTGGCCACCATCTGCAAAGCATACCTGACCGTCACTGAACCCCCAAATTCTGGACACATCCGCTGCTGGAGTGAGGCGTTTTGAATTCATCTGATGTTTGTTGATGCCTCTGGAGATGGCTGCACACAGACGGAGAAGGCTCTGTCTGTGGCTGACTTCCAACCGCAGGCCTCTCCCAAGAACAAAAAGCATCAAATCGGGACTAACAAAGTACAAGCTAAGCCGCCAGGAATCACAGCAGGTCAAGTGCCATCAAACTTGCATCACCCCATTTGGGTATATTTCAATGAGTGGTCCGGCCTTGCAATCAGACTTGCAGTCCGCGTCGAAGCTGCAGTAGTACTGCCGTGGGTTTCGAGCATTGCAAACCTATCACAACAGGCAAAGATTTCTGCAATTGTCATTGCTTTTTGCTAGTTATATGCATTTGCAGACCACGCTTTGTGTGCAAACTACCTTTCCAAATCACAAAATGTTCTTGTCAAAACTATTGGAGTTTTTACTTCTATCTGCAACAAAAAATGCTCCAGCCTCAGGTGTTACCGCCTGCTTCGGAACACTTTCTTGAAGACGTCGAGCCGTCATCTGCCCGAGACACAAAGACTTCAACATACTTTTTGAGCTCCCTGATTTCAAAACCTTCCTACTAGAATGTACTAGAATCTGGAAAACACTTGATATCCATTAAATTGAATTTATGCCATGCCTTCAGCCTTCATGGCTTCACTTTGTAAGGATTCGCTCTCTGCGTTTTGTCGTCACTAGAACTGCACTAACAACAAGTGCAGAAGGTCTCCACCTGGGCAGTTTGCATCTGCGTCACCTGAGTCAAATACGGGTGCCTATCTCAGGTAGGCTTCAAATCCGCTATGCTTGTGGTGAAGTGATCTCTCTGAGATTCGCAGGGATCTATCTGATGCATGAATTATCGGGAAATCAGAGCTCAAACTTGGGTAACTGCTGCATCATTCAGCGCAGTGAAGACTTCTCCAATCCTCCCAAACCTTGGGCAGAAATTGTTTCACTTGGGAGAGCAATGGCAGCAAAAGCTTGGCCTGTCTTCGATGCCAAATGAGAAAAATGTTGAGTGGCAGACTCGGTTGCGCTGATTTCGCCATCAACGTTGGTGTCAAGCTGCAAGAATAGCGACTCTGGCTGGGAGATGTTCTGCAAGCAGCGAGAGGAGCAGAGTGTGGCTCAGCGAAAAGCATGCGTTCTTCCTGGAAAATGCCAGCATGATCCTACTTCTTTCCTCAGCTCCAAAAACTCTTGACCCTTTGCCCCATCAATCGGCCTCAATTAAAATTCCTTGAATTCTGAAGCCTTCGGCACTCTTGCGGAAATCCGCAAAACCTGAAAGCAAGGGAAATTCGATAAGGATCAGAACATCAAATGAACATCATAAGTTGAATCATAAGGAACAAATCAACTCGAATGAACCACGGTGACACGATTTTGGGCGCGCAACTCATGGGGAAATATGCCGCTGCAGGTTCTGCTCTCTGGATGATCTCTGTGGCTTTTTCCTTTTCGGTGGCACCTCTTGGCAGAGCTAAAGCAAGAAACATCAACCCCATTCATCCAATCATATCATATTACTATGTATACATACTATTACATAATTACACCCTTTGGGGTGGTATCAAGAACCATGTATGTATAAAAATGCACGTATAATATGTATATATATATACGGTATATAGTACATAATGATATTATACGTATGTATATGTGTGTGTGTGTGTATTACGTATATATAATGTATGTACATATCATAAACCATAATTATAAACTCACAAGAGATGAAAAAAAAGCATGCCAAGCATGTCATTGAGTTTAACTGGACCAAGCGGTACGCCGGGTACGCAACATCGTCGAACATCACCATGTTGGATCACAATCTCAGAGCGTCGATCCAGGCGCCTGTACTTGTGTCCCTCCAGTACACCGTCGGCACATCAGGAGACCTCCCACGGCCATTGAGGTGCACGACTGGCTGATGGAAAGCTGGAAGTATTCAAATTCAGATCCCATGTGAAAGCTGTAGAAATCTATCGAAAAGCGTCAAGTTCAGTTTGCTGTCGCCTGTCTTCGCACAAGAGGGTGAAAGTGTTCCACTGGCAATAGTCAGTTGGGCAGGATGTGATATGCAAGAAAGTAAGACCTCGGTCCAAAAATCAAGACACAAGTTGGACAACTATACCTACATCGCAATCTGCAAACAAGCTGAGCCCAGTGCATGGACGATAGCAAATACCCTCACCCTGCAAAATCACACAGCAGAATGCGCAAACAGCCCTCCCACTACTTCCTTGTTGCACTTGTGGTGGCTTTGTGTGATTCTTGGCCTGTGCACATTCCTTGCCCATGCCACACTCTTCGTTGTACCTGTTTCAGTGGCAGCAAGTCTGAAGTGGTTGCTCCCCAGGCTCAAGTTCAAAGGCGCACTTGGCTGGTACAGAGAATGGCGGGTTCTCACATATGCATGAGGTTGGAGTCGTGCCGTTGCCATAGGCACAATTTGTACATATTTTCCCGTCCTCCATGACAGGTCAAAGTGTTTGAGCAAGAAATGAATCGGACTGCGGAACAAAACATGTTTTCTCCTCAAAGAAGTCATGCTAAGCAAAAGTCCTGGCATCCCTTCTCCCTTAGGAAGAAGCCAGGTCGGTGTTCACGACATAGATCCGTGTTTTGAGTCAAGCCTGATTTGATCAGCCAGCACAGGACTCCTCGAAGCTTGCACGATTCCAAGGCTCTCTTGGGTCCCAGCATTGACATCTTGTGCATTGCGAAGGACCTCTGTACCTCAAAGCCGAAGTGCTAGATTACTCTGGCGTTCAGTACTTCAGAATGATACACTCCCCTGGCAGATCCAAAGATAGCTGTGTTTGAACCAAATGGCGAAACATCCTCTAAAGAGCCATTTGACTTAACAGAAGACATAAAGTTCATTAAAGTTCCATAAAGCAATAAGGTCCGACATTTCACTGTGAGTTGGAGCACTGAAGGACCTCAAAGTATTGAGTCTGCGCTCTGCAGAGACCTGAGTAAATTGAGTATGACTGAGTTTGACCCAACCCAGAGTGCGATGAATTCCAAGGCGTTGGCCAATGCAAAACAAGAGCCAAATGGCCTGAGAGACTGCCAGGGAAAGGCACTGCAAAGCATCTGACAGGTCGCCTCTTGCCACACATCACACCATGAGATTGTCGCATCCCTGCCACGTGAGGAGCCGACAACTCTCATGCCTGTCCTCACCTGTCACAGTCCCAAGTGCATGACAAAGCAGACCCATCCCCAAAAACAAGTGAGGATCGTGCGCTCTTACCCCTACTTGTTGCTTTATGTTACATGGCGTGGAAAGAGATAATCTCGACCAAAAATCGAAAATGGCAGTCAGCTTGGGAATGGTTGCCTTGCCTTCGAAATACATTGCCCCAGACCCCGGTCATGGCCACAGTCCCCTGAGAGCCAAAAAGAAAGAGCAACAAAACTTGTTGTTTACCAAGACTTGCGCATGCTTTCTCAATGTGACTCCTGCAGTTCGTAAGGAATATCCACAAGATCTCACCACAACATTCCACAAGGGTTCAAATGAAAACACCCCACCAAACTGCTAGGTTCTCTTGTTTCCTTCAAGCCAATGGCTTCATGACACGCGGTGAAACAGTAGATCTTTCAAAAAAAGATCACAGGATTGGCCCCTTCAGGTAGCCAGCGGACATGAGCGAAGAAACACCTGACATCGCAGCATCTGAGCAAACTCCACCACCTTTTAGTGGAACATATGATGGCAGCCATGTGGCAACTCTTTTTGATTTGGATCTCAAGCAAGAGAACTTGGGAGAAGCCAAAAGTGGGCTCGCCTGGGTGTTTGTCAGAGAGGCCATCGTCCATGGAAGCAAAACCACTATGTGGTTGATTCCGCGCCTTAGAATTCTGACCCAGTTTGACAGAATGCGTTGAATAAGCTGTCAAAATTTTGATGATTTGATGTTTCACTGATACTCTGACTGGACTCTGACACTTTTGCTTGATCTGTGCGTCTAAGACACCTTGACGTATGTGGCCTTGCCTACTCGTCGTACTGCACAGTAGCGGTCCCACCTGTGGCGCCCCTTTACCCACACCCTGACTTCCAGAAACCACAGAAAAGGGATGTGGCGCCTGTCATCCACATCGCCATTGTTTCGGCAAAGTATGACCTCTCATGTGTCTTGCAAAGAATCACTATCCTGGTAACAATCAAGTTTAGAATACCAAGAAACCATAAGAAATTGAACAAAAAACACGTGACAGCTGAAACTTTTGTTTGGCATCCAGGGCTGGGACGTTGGAGACCAATTGGTTCTGCAGGTTTTGGTCCTTGCTCACCAAAATGTGAATCATACGTTCGGTCTTGCTTGCAAAGGCGTGACAAGTGGCTTCTCAAATCCGCCGGCCTGCTGGTCTTGCTACGCGTTTTTGCTTCGTCTGAATCGTGTCCACAAAAAAAAAACTTCCCCCCCCAAAAAAAATGTAAAAGGGGGTTTCTGGGGCATATATGTTAGTATGTTGCCTTATTTGGTTTTATGTTGATGTTCAATGTTTGTTCCTTGGTGTTGATGTTTTTCATAGGGGTGATTCTGGGGTCATTTTCCTAAAAAAGTGTTCATCGGTTCCTTGTTTGAAATTTTCTTAGTTATTATTGTTTGGGATTAGGCTTTGTTGATGTTGTTAGGGTTTATGTTTTTAATTTAATTTCAGGATAATAATTTAATTGGTGAGGTCTATTTTTGTTGTATTCATAAGTCATTTTAACAAACATATTCAAATCCCTTATTGTATTTTTAACATTCAATTTTTTGCTTTCAATATATAGTTTAATATTTTCTTTGACATCTTCAACATCTTCGTGAGCAAGTTTCCATAATATTTTTTCCAAAACTTCATATCTCTTTTCACTTAATCTCATCACTTGTTTTACATCTTTTAAGGATGGTAAATACCTATAATAAACAGTAATAAATGCCAATACATCTTCTTCAACATTTCTTTTATTTAAGATATTCAATTCACATTCACAGTAGAACATTCTTTGATAACATCTCCAGTTAAAACAATATTTACATTCATCATCATAATGATATTTAGTAATATTATTCACTATTTCATTTGGCAAATGTAATTTATACAATTCCATATTTTCTTTTTTGAAATGGCAACAGTCATAGCATTTCTTGTTAATATACTTGTTAATCTCACTCCGCAGCATATTTTTCTTACTATATATAGGTATTTTTTCTTTAAGTATTTATCACTTTTTGTAGGTGTTCTTTTATTTCTTCTTGATTTAGGTAATTCTCATAACCCCTAAAGAGTTCTTCAGTGTATTCACGCAAAAATATTTCCAAAATGTCTTTTACATTACTGTATATGCTTTATTTCTAAAGACATAAGTTCCATTAACATTAGGAAACCACCAGCCGTTATTTTTCTTTGAGAATGTGATATAATTCAGGTGGTGAAATTGTTTGAGGATATGATATGTATATTTCCAATTCTTTTTAACATAGGATTTAATTGCTTGAAAAAATAGTCTGTTGTTTAAAAGTTCTATCTTACAATCGCTTCTGTCCATCAATTCGTCTATTTCTCTTTTCATTACCCTGGTATTTGTTCGGTTGGTGTTGGATAAGAAGATTGGGGATTTTTCCATCTTTGTTTGAAAGAAATGTATTTGTTTTTCGGTTGTTGTCAGGTAATGCGTCTCAAAGTCAAAATGGTAAGTGAAATCTTTGTATGTTCGTTCCTTATCGTATAAGTCTTTACATTTTGAACAGTAGAGGTTGTAATCACATATCACATCACAAATTCCAGCAGGGAAAATGTTGTTTAGCAATACCTTTATGTCAGTCATTTCTTTTTTACAACACCTACAGTTTTTGTAAGTAAATAGCATTCTCTTAATATATATAGTTATTTTTTCTTTAAGTAGTTTTTGGGGTCTCTTTCAGTTTTTGGGTTCAGGTTTGGATTTCGTCTTTTAAACTTGCTTGATATTGTTCTTCATTCCATTTATCATACTCTTCTCTCGTCCTTGGCGACCACACATCATAAGGGTCAAAAGTATTTTCTTCTATTTGTCGTTCAATCTCTTCGTCTGTCATTTGTCGGAATTGTTCTTTATATTCTTCATCTTCATAGTTCATAAACATGTCCATTCGTTGCTTTTCCATCTCTAAAAGTTTGTTTTCCATATGTTGGAATTTCATTTGTTTCTTACCACACTTGCCACAAACATTCACAAAGGTTTTTAACAAATAACTCCAGTTAGGTTTTTTGTAATCACGACGGTTTAGATTAATACACTCACTCATAATACGACATCCACACTCAAATTCAGTCATCTTATTCTCTCTTAATATATTAAGGTTTTATTTCTTTAAGTATATTTTTTGTTGATGATATTTTTATAATCTAAAATTAGTATAATGGCAAGAAGATTAACAAAAGAACAAATTATTAGCAATACATATTACGACAATGAAGGAGGCTTTGGTTCAATCCAAGAAACCTACAAGAAGGCAAAAGCACAAACCCCAGAAATCACATTAGACGATGTAAAACAGTTTATGAGGAAACAACCCAACAAACAAATCAAGGGATACAGGGGCAGTAACTCATACACCGCTCCATTTGCCAGATTTGAATACCAAATAGATATTATGGTAATGGCACCGCTTTCAAAGAACCCAGAAGTCAAAATAGAACCAACCAAAAAGGAACCAAGGTATGCCTTAGTGGTCATTGATATTTTTAGCAAATACGCCGATGTAATTCCAATGAAGGAAAACAATAGTGAAAGTGTGTTACAAGCATTGAAGGAAGCGTTTAAGAAAATGGGTTTTCCTATGTCAATATATTCAGACAATGATGGTGCGTTTCAATCGGTAGTTAAGAAATTCTTTGAAGATGAAGGCATAGAACACATAGTAACACAGACCCACGCCAACGTGGCAGAGAGGTTCATTAGGACAATTAAAAATATGATACACGACAGGGTCAGATTTAATAAAGCTGGTTGGACGTCAATGCTTCCACCAGTATTGAAGAAATATAATTCTACTACACACTCATCAACAAAGATGACACCAAATCAAGCACATAAAGATGAAAACAATAGCACGGTAAGGATAAATCTAACTTTGAGAGAAAACAACAAAAGAAAATATCCAAATACAAAAGAAGGCGATAGTGCCAAATACTACCATAAGAAACGGGGTAATTATACCGATAGAAAAGAATACAACAGCAAACGGTCCCAACAATCCCACAAAGTTAAAAAAATCAAATATGACATGATGGGAAACAAGACTTACAAACTGGAAGGATTACAAAAACCCTACTTAAGACATGAACTATTGCTGGTTTAAACTTAATAATATATTTAGAAAATATTATTATGAATTAACCATATGGTAAGTATCCTGCTTTATTAGTATCATCTATGTAAGTATATTTTTCTTTGTCTTCATCCCATTCTATTTTATAATATTGTAAGGTGTTTCCTTTGGCATTTTTATTTCTTTGTTGTTCAACTTTGTTAGATACGCTTGTCTTTTGTTTTTATACTCGGCACTATTTGGAGCAATATAACTACTCTGGGTTTTCTTTTCAGTTGCTTCGTGTAACTTCTGTAACAATTCCAATCCCAATTTGATATTTTTATCACATCTATTCAGTTTATTAGTTAATTCATCTAACTTCTCTAAATTGGCATCACTCACATTCGCTTCATCGCAACTCATATATATAATAAAACTATATATTTTTAAAACTTTTATCAAACTTTTAATCCATTTCACCCATTGATACTTGTTTCCGTCGTCTTGGGGTATTTATAACGTTTGAAATCATTCTGTTAGTGCTTTCTTTGTCTTTGTCTTCTGGTGTGACTTGTCTGTTCCACGAAAAGGATATGCTATGTGCTTCAGTGTCCAACTTAATATCACCGTTGTCATCTCTAGATACATTCACTGTTTTGTCATTCTTGCTGATTTTAAAACTACATGGGTTACATTTACATTTGATACCTTTAGGGTTTATTTCAATTTCATTTCTCAATTGTAGTTTGATAAAACAATTAGGACAATCAAAGGTGATAAATTTACTTGATACTTTTTGTTCTTCGTCTAATTTAATTGTAGTTGGTTCTTCATCACTTAATTCAAAATCTTCAGGGATTGGTTGTTTCTTCATTTTGC